GTAACCTTTTGTCATCATATTGAAAGGGTCTTTCTCTAAAGGTTTTTTTTTTGCCTGCATCCAACTACCCAGTTCCTCGTCAGCTAGAAGTAAGAGGTTGCTGACTAACAGTGATTGATTTTTAGTGTGTCTTTGGATTAAAAAAATTTATAACTGAGGTTAGAATTCAACTAAGTTTAGCAAATTAAGATTAAAAAAAAAAGTCTGTGACTTTAACGTGATTTATGTTTGAATACTTTCTTTTAGAAGTCAGTTGAACAGATTGAAAATTGTTTGGATAATTTGATTCAAAAGTCAGTTAAGATATATAATGACAAAAATAAGTATAAATTTTGTTATCTATATTTTTGTGACTAATTTGATATTTTTTAAAAATCATAAACTTTAAATTATATTTTTTAAAAAAGTAGACTTAAAATATCTAAAATAAATTAATTGTTTAAAAATCAAAATTTTAAAAAAGATCATGAAAAAAATGATAAATTATAGTCTATATATAATTAAAATTTAAGAAATAGTCTAGTTTGATCTTCTTTTAAAAAAATTAAACTTTAAATTAAAATTTAGAAAAATAATATATACAAAATAAAGCTTAAGTATTAAGTATTATTTATAATTATAATATTAGATTGCTCTGTAAAACTACCCAGTGTGTCGATCCCCACATCGCCAACTTCTAATATTGGATTGCTCTATAAAACTACCTTGAATGGAAGAGAGATCTCAATGGTGAGAGTAGAGGAGTTATCGACCAAGGAGATAGAATGACGGAAAGAAAGGGCAGAGGAGAATAGAGAGGAGATAGGTCTAAGGAGATTAGATCTAGACAAAAAAGAAGAAGAAGCAAAGCAAGAAAGGGCCATAAGGATCTATTAGACCCACAAAGGAAGCCAAGAATACCAGAAACTTTTGTTTGGACCTGTGGAGGAGAGAATGGAGTGTTAGGTGAGGACAGAGATGAGTAGGGATATGCTGGTGCAAGAAGGGACGTCAAAGAGTTGGAGGTCAACTAAAAGTCCCTGAGAACAAGACGGTGGAGATCGACTAGCGAAGACATCGCCGCTTGTGAGCAATACAAATAAGGGAGGTCACGAGAGCAAGAAAGGACCACGCACACGAGGAAGGTGACGCAGAGTTGGAGCTCAAGGGAAGATAGATGAGAGGAGAGAGAAAGCTAATGCTTTCCTAATGAATTAGCGCTAATGCCTGACATGATGGAAAAAGCCAAATTTAATAGCTTCAAATGCTCATTTACACCCCAACCTAAGTTGAAAATTTTTGCTCATCCAAGCAATATTTTTGAGCTTTTTATACTTTAACCTCAGTTTGACCCATTCTAAGTGAAGTTGAAAATTAATCCAAAAATGCTCTTAATGTCCTCTACCAGCGACGATGAAGTTTCCATTACATCTGAGGTTTTTTGGCTAGCTTTAGGAGTATTCAACAATGAACATTCCTCTTTTTGATGACCAGACGTGCCATAGTTAAAGCATATTACATCTAAACCTTTATATTCAACCCTATAAATTCTATTCCTGATAACAAAGCAAGATTGCAATCTTTGATTCAGATCAATTTCCACGCTAACTCTTACGAAACGTCCTCTTTCTAGAGCAATATCACTACTGTTACAGTAAGCTAAAGTATTCATATCAACTTTAAGAGCCTTTCCCACCATATTTCCAAGCTCCATCATAAAGTCTACTATATAGCAATGCATAGGCAATGTCAGAACTCTTATCCAAATTGTAACTTTACGTATGGTATTACTATAAGGGTTAAAATTAGGGCTCTATCTTTGCACAGCTAAATAATGGCCTTTAACAAGCCAAGGACCCTCAAAAAGAAGTTTCTGACTTAGAGATTGGTCATTTAATCTGAACGAAAAATAATTATTTGGTAGATCAATAAGTTCAAAATCATTTGTTTTCAAAACCCATCCCAACTTAGCATAAAGCACCTTCATAATAACGTTTTTGCCTAAAACTATCAAGAATAAGGCATTTTTTCATGGTAAACACTGTTGTCTTAATCAGTCATTAGATACATCCATTTTTGAAAGACTATCCATCATTCGTTGTTGTTCTTCAGTAAGTTTCAGAGTCATGGCCTTTTCTTCAATCAACCATTCCTTCATTAACTCTTCAAAGTCATGCTCAAACTTCTTATTCTCTTTTTGCACCAACTTCTACTTATATGAGATCTGTGACTGAGGGGCTTGTTTCCTAATACCATCTTCTCCATGTTCCACCACCTTTTAGTTCCCTGTATCTGTCGTATTGTGCATTTGATGATCAGAACCTCTAGTAGGTATACCCTTCTTAGCACTATTTCCATCTTCACTTTGATCTTGCATGATGATGTCTTTATCTCTCTTACGGATGTTCCTCATAGTGACATCTTCGTCTTGTTTAGAGAGGCCTTTTTGTAGGGCTGTGCAACAGGCAGGATGGGCTAGCCCAAAGGGTTGCCTGTAGCCTGTCCTGTTTTATTTAAAACGAGCTGGGCCAGCTCGTACCAGTGATCTTCCCAATTTAGCCAATACCAAAACGGGTTGGACTAGCATGGGCGGGTTACAACGGGCTAGTCCAGCCCGTTTACAATATTGATCAATTTAAAAAAAATTAATAAGTTACTTTTATATGATGTTTTAATATAAACATCTAAGTATAATCAAAGAAGAAACAACTTAAAATATCACTGGATACATATTACATTACAGTCATCCATGATTCAAATTATGATGTTAAAATTCGAGACCATTTCATTCAAAGAGTTGCACCCCTGAGAATGCGAAAAAAATGAAAAAAATGATGGTAGAAAAATAAAAAAAATGCTACTTTTATTTACTGCAATCATTAGATGGTCTAATGGTAAGTACATTGAAGCAAGTGATGGTAGAAAAAGCAAAAAAAAAAAAACAAGAAGAAGCTAATTTTATTAAAGAAAAGAGAAAAACAATTGCAAAATCAAAGAAGCAACCTAAGCATAGAACACCCCTTGAACAATTTGATTGGGAAAGTTGGTCTGGACATGAGAACATCAGAACTAGACAAAAAATAAGAAGGAAAGCAAAAGGAAGAAAACTTGGTCACAGAAAATGCCAAAAACTTGTTAAATTTTCAAACTTTATCGAACCTAAGCAATGAGAAATGAGAACATCAGAACATTCTGGGCAATAGAAAATAAGAAGGAAAGTAAAAGGAAGAAAACTCAAATATGAGATTTGGAGTTCAAATTCGTTGGGGACCAGGGAGGAGAGATGAGGGAAGCACGGCCATAGACCACCGACCGACCGAAGCAGTAATAGCTTGGGAGAAAAAGCATGGCCTCAAGAGGTGCTTTGCTGCTTGAGGGATGACAACGACTACTGAATCTGGACAGACTTGAGAGCTAAAAGAGTACTTGCAATGAAGAGAGATGAGAATGATGAAGTACGGTGCAAAAGCATAATAAAGCACCAGCACTAGGACTCTGGGTCTGTTTGGGAAACAAGGTCACACGGGTTTGCGTCTGCTTAGGAGATGAGATTGCATGGATCATGAGCTCATGATGAAGCACGATGAGATCGAATAGGACTGGGTCTGCCTGGGAGACAAGATCATAAGTGGAGCACCAAGCAACCAAAGGTTTGTTCAGTGAGAAGAGAGAGAATAACTAATGACCTGAGTGAATGAGGGCTTTTCTTCAAGCAAGCAAGTTGCTTTTCTTTGTTGACATTCTGTGAGCGAATGCAACGCAGCATTGAGTTTTCTCATTAATCATAACTGGACAACATGACAGGATGGGACAGGCAGCCCGAAGGGTAACCCGCAGCCTGTCTTTCCCGTTCACAATAAATATGAGCTGGCTTGTAAATTTAACCTGCCTGTGTTTTTGGGTCATTGGGCGAGTTTTGACCTGCCCATTTTGTACTGAGTACAAGAAGATTTAACAGGTTGTGGATTGTCTGCTCACCCTTACTTTTTTCAATTCTTTCAGTTTTCTAGCCGAAACCGTCCCAGTCCCATGCACACTTTCTCTCACACTCTCTCTCTTGCTCTAACTCATATTTTCGTCAACAATACATCACTCAACGTTTGATTTCATGTGGCATATCAAGTTATCAAGTAGCAGCCACCAACTCTTTTTGGGTCAAAGACATCAACATTCAGCTTCAGCCACTTGCACCTGGGTGCAAATCCTTCGCATCTGTCGCAATTATCATCAACATTCCACAGCTCACACTCGTCCAAATCCTTTTGGTTCATATTTTTCACAAAAAGGGAGCTCCCTTCAAAATGAAAATATCACAAAAAGTGAACATCCAAAATCACATTAAATTAGTACTATCAACAAACTCATCATCCTTTCTCGTTCATGCCAGTATAAAATGAGTTTGGATTTTGACCCCTATTTCAAGAGATATTTTCTATGCATCCATCATTAAAATCTGACTTCAATTATTTAAATATCTTCTTACTTTTTTTTATTATATAAAATCAATAAAATTTCCAACTGATATTTGGAAGATACTTTAAATTAAAAAATAAATAAATGATCTAAATGATCTAAATCAAATATGGTCAATCCCATTGGCCGTTCCCAAGCGCACATCTACGTACTAGTGCCAAATCCAACTATCAAACGCAGCCAGTGACCAAAATAAAACAGTGTATTACTATTTTCCAGTGCAATAAAACGCAGATTGCATAGCAAATCGTAGTCGTTGGTTGTGAGAAATCCTAGCCGTCTATTTCACTCTAACCAAACGCACCAGTTGCATGGACAGGCCAATGCCCAAAAGGACCGGATTTCAGAGTTCAGTTTGAAATATTTGTACATAAACTCAAATATCCTCTCGTGTTCATTTCTTGAATCAAGTCAACAGATTTGTCAACATATCATTTATAAATCAGAAGGGATAGAAAATTTCCAAGCACCATTGCACGAGACCAACATCTTTGCATTGTCACATCAAATAATCATCTTCAGTTCAGTGAGTCAACTGCAGAGAACACAAAAGAAACCGCAGGTTGAATCAGAAATCATTGTCAACCATCAGTATGCACAGCAGGGAAAAAAAGATAAAAAGAACTACGTACGCAAATCAAGCACATTCCAAAATGGAATACCTCTTTGTACTACTTTGAACAAATTTAAATTCACATAGCTGATGCAATAAACTCCAGATGCTAAATCATAAATGCATTTTAACCAAACTTTGATATAATTCTCATCCCCGCAAAAGTCATTCATTTTGCTAAAGCCAATGAGCTACCAAAACATGCTAAATTTGAAGTAGCAGCGGATCAAATATATAGTGCTTGGCAATTGATGAAGGTTCGCCAAGGCACGCATTGTTGGAGCAAGTGAAGTTGAAGTTGAAGGAAGCGACATATATTAACTAGTTTACATCCTTAAACATGTCAATGTAGTGCACTAAAATCCGTCATCATTCTACACCCTCAACAAAAGGAACAACTGAGCTGTAATTAACATTTGAATCATTATGTTATACAGACAACATATTTAAGCAAACCACGCATTTTTTTAATTCTGGGAACGAGCACAGATACTCAGAAACAATCTAGCTGAACTACTTGATACTCAAAGACTCCATCTAGTTACTTTTATCTCTGTTTCAAAAAGGAAATATTATAAGTTTAAGAAACTAATAATCGTAAGGAATGACATACTCTGGGTGCACTGATCAACAAGGAACTATGGGAATTAATTATCACTCTATAGAGTAAGCCACACATATAGAATAAGCCACACAACATGGACCCAAAAAAAAAAAACAGCATAGTAAATAGCAATGATTAAAAAACTGGATCGAATCAGATGGTCGGACCGTCGACTGGTTAAGCTAACGGCTCAGTCAAACTGAAAAAAATCATTTGAAAAGTTGGGCCGGATTGGACCATTTTGACCGGCAGTTGATCCAATTTTTAAAAATCAGACTGTTAAAAAAAAAGAACCCTTTTCCTTTTTTTATTTTTATCAATTTTTTTTTAAAAAAATGACTAATTTTTTTAATCATTTGATGTTATGTTATATTATGTGGCTTGTTAAGTCATGATAAACTTAAAATATTTGATTTATTTTTAAATCAAATAGCAATTTCATATTTATTTCTTATATTTAAATTATTCTATACATATATAATTTTTTAAATTTAATTATTACGTCAACGGTTCGACCATTGGTCCAACCTGATTGGACTGTGCGAATCGCTGACCTTTTCGATTCAATATCCGGTCAAGTTTTGAAAACATTGGTAAATAGGAATAAAGTAATCCTGAACTTGAGAAGATCCAAGTATAACAGAGTTTGGCCATACAATGCCAATTAACAAAATGAAAGCTCATGGTGCCAGATGTAATCAAACATCAACAGCATAACAAAGAGCAGCATAAACTTCGTCCCTAATTTTCAAATATAAAAGCCCTGATGCTCATCAACAAAGTACAAACAAAACAAAATTCATTGAATGCCTATCTTTTAAGGCGCAGGGGGTAAAAAGCAAAAAGAATATCAGTCTTTCAACTCTTCAAATCTGGCGCAATAGAAAGAAAGGCATGTTGACGGCATAATTAAATATGTAATGCAAAAGTTAAAATTTCCAGTCACACTGAAGAAAAAATCAAAATTTGAAAGTGTAAAGTATGTCTATATCGGAAGAAACAAGAAACATTTTCAATGTCAACAATCTGCATCAACCTCCTTTAATTGTATCTTTTCTACCCTGGAGAGAGGCTACAAGGATTCCCAATGTGCAGAATTTTTCTTTGCAAAATAAATCTGAGTTAGGCTGTCCAATCTTCCCCAAAATCACCTACTTGCTCGATTTCAATCATGAAATGTTATCCATTTACCTATCTAAACTTCGTATCTATACAAGGTGCAAATCTCCAGAAAATATGACTAACTATGACTCCGGTGTCCAAAAGCATGCAATACATCTCTGATGTGTCCTACGTCCTTCTCAAGTGGATAAACTTGTCAATATATAAAATTAAAATTGCAAATTCTAGAAGAACATTTTCCAATATAAGATCATTAAATTTACATATTCCAATTCCATCACAGTCTCACTAACAAAATAACAAATATATAATGAATAAAGTATCATAAAACTTTTATCAACCATAATTTCATTTCAAAACAATCCTAATTCACATGTACAAACTGACTATTGCACCTGCACGTTGGCCAGAAACAACTGAATATTTGTAAGTATATTTTCTACCTTGAGAGACAGCTACACGTACAACCTGCGTGCAAGGTCTTTCATAGCCAAAAAAAAAAAAAAAAGCACCGGCAGTTCTTCTGAGATAAGCTATTCGAATATAAATTTGCAAAGCACCTATTCACATGTACAAACTCTTGAAATATATTTATTCCCCAAGGCAAACTTCAAATTTATCGAACGCACAAGTCTCCAGCAAATTCAATTTCAGTCTGAAAATGACCCCGGCGTCTACAGGTGCAACCCCATTTAAGTTACCCTTCATTACGGTCCCTCAAATTTATTAAAAACACATATTAGATGTGTCATACGTTCAATTAGAAACAACGAATTTTCATCCCATTTTTCATCTGAATAAAAGAATCGAAACAAGAGAATCAGCAAGGTTTAAACAAAGTACCCAACGAAAAGAGGTAGTAATATTTTTATCGAACTCCTTTGACGAAGGAAGAAAAAGCAAGCTCCTACCTCTGACCATCAAGATTGCCCTGTCCACTGCTCCCGCCGCTGCCGTAGGACCCATCATCCGCCGCCGTCTGCCACACTGACTGCCACGCTTGCGAAGGCGGTTGGGCGTACACTCCAGTCGGATCCACCGCCGGCCGTCCAATCATCATGCCACCGGGAGGACCGGCAGGTTGGCCGATAGACGGATAGTAGTAAGGAACACCGCTGGCGGGGGGCCCCACCATTCCACCAACACCAAGGGCGGCCTCATCCTTGATCTCATCCCTGGGCACAATATCAACCAAGAAATCGAAAATATCAGTGCGGGTGATGGCGGCGGCGATATCGTTCTTCTGGAGAGTGCGCCTCTTGTTCTCCTCGGCGTGGAGCCAGGATCGAATGGTGAGCTCAAGGATGAAGAGCTCGCAGGCCTTGGCGAACAAAATGGGGGCTTCGGCGGAGATCATGCGGACGTCCTCGTCGGCCTTCATGATCTTCTTGATGCGAGCGAGAGGAAGCTGGTGGTTCTTGAAATCGTTGACATGCTCGATGTCTTGGCGCTGGTAGGTCCAGAATGTGTGAAGCTGTTGCTGCTGCTGTTGAAGAAGGTGGTGGAAGGAAGGAGGAGGAGCAGGGGGCTGAGGTGGGTATGCGGAGCCGGAGGAGGGTGGGGCTTGCTGCTGGTGATTCTCCATGCGATGATGAATGATCAATGGTGCGATCGGCTTCAACGTTGATGGTTGCGTCTCGCTTTCAGGGCGTATCGAGACTATTGGGCGACGCACCCAGAGAAACTTTTGCTGCTGAGTTTTCTCGCTTTCGAACTTCCAATTCAACCATCAAGTGCCTCTTTATTCGAATATTTCGAGTGGTCTCCAAAAATACCTAAAAAAGTTGGCCAAGAAAAACCATACCTGAACGAATCTCATAGATACACAACATATTATTAAAATATAATCAATTGAGTTTGTTGAAGTCGGTTAGATAATTCCAACTTTTTAAAAATCACCTTTATTAAATTGTATCCTTATATGTTAATGATCCCTGTTAATGCCTCTTTCATAGACAACGTTAAATTTATTTGCAAAGAACTCACTACGTTCTATAGGGTGACTTATATTTTAACTTTTAAGTATCTTAAATCTTTTAAAATGTGACTTGTATTTTAGGATGGAGTATTAATTCATAACTTTCGTTTTTTTTTTTTTTTACTTAAATTCTTCTAATGGCTTTGCTGAAGACACTCGTCTAATGTACCTTTCTGAATATTGTGACTATTTCACTGCTTTCTCATCGCTGTCCGAGGTGGGTTGTTTTCTTTTGAAACTCCAGCAATCTAAAATTTTGAACTATTGAAGGAGAGTAAAGACCATGCTGTATTCATTTGATCTCCTGTATTGGTCTTGTTAATATGGTTCAGTGTTTCATTCAACAAGAAGAACAAAAAAAAAAATGAAATATTGATTTTGCAAAATACAGCTTACCCAGAAATAAAGGATAACAATGATACTTGTTTTCGATCTTTAAATAAAATTAACTTCTTTTCATTTGATTGTTTATGATTTAGAGTAGAGCTGGTCAAACTAAGGTCCAGCACATACTACACTGTTGCCAAGTATCTTCCTTGACTAAACTCCCAAAATTCACAGCCACCGAAGAAGCCAGTGATACAAACAAGATTCTTGGCGAGTCTAATTGACAGTAAATCTTTAAGACTGCTACAATGTTTTCAAGGACAATAATCTTCAAAGAAACAAAACAGGTACTGAATATCAAGGAAAATAATCTTCAGAAAATCTTGACAAAGTAAATATGCACATTCAAGTTAGCGATATGAATAGGAAGGGCCAGCGAAGGAATAACGAGATGAAACTGGGATTGGCGCGTTCTCTCGCCTGGACCCATTGTAGTGCTGAGTCCTGTTATATTCTGACACAGCTTCAGCAGCAAAAGTCGAGTATCGCCTATCTTGACCAGTTTCTCTCCTCCGAAGGTCTTCAGCCCTAGCCAAGGTTCTTTCACCTGTCAAATATGAACTTGAACGGATTTCCTCTCTGCTCAGTGGTGGTGGTATATACGAGTCCCTTGACGAACTACCGTGGTGATAGGCATGATGATATGGATCATTTGCAAAGTCAAGTCTTGCACCACGACTGTAGGCTTGATATTTGATCTCATCCAAATAAGGAGGATCAGGGCGAAGTGTTTCAGCATGTACAGGGACATTGTCCCTGTAGATAGGGCCCAGGTGTTGACGGTGATCCCTTTCATAATCTCTCTCATAACGATCCAACCTAGGATGCACATGAGATGGAGGATTTACAACACTTCTATCTCCTTGCAAACCATACGCTCGATAGTCCCTTTCAGTAAGAAATAAATCACGAGGAGCTTCCTCTCTACGTTCAATTCGGTTGGTAACTTCCTCTCTCCGTCCAATCCGGTGATCTCTTTCATCAGGAAGCACATTATAACTACTGACATGGCTATTGGCAAAATATTCTCTGGCAGGTCTTTCCATGTAGGAATGTGGCCTTGATCCCCTTGCAACATCACGAACTTCCCTGTCCCTGACAATCACCTTTGGAGGGGAGCGGGCAGAGCGCAAAGTAGAATGAACTTCTAGTGGTCGGAATAGCTCCGTTAGCTTCCTAACCTGAATCATAACATTTGAATATAATCAAAGACGAGAATTCAACAAAATGGTAGAAACCAAAACAGAGGCAATATTTGAATCTCACTTGTCTGACAGTAAGTTCTGTTTTGAACTTATTCTTTTCATTATAGTTTTCCTTAATAGCCCTTTTGAAAATGCTCTCAGGTAGTGGATAACAATCCTTGTCAACGGAGAATCGCACCTAAAAGGTTTGAACCATCAGCACGTAAATCTCAACTTCGTACAATGAAGACAAGAATCTCAGCTAAAACCAGGCAACAAAATAAACAGGGGAGGGAAAAGGTAACCTGAGCAGGAAACAAACCCTCAAAAGCTCTCGTTTCAAGTTTCATGCCACCAGAAGATGTTGCCTTGTAGATCCCATACAACAGCTTAAGATCAAAATCATACAGAAAAAGCTTCAGCCCTGGCTTGATTCCAAAAACAACATCTTTTTTACCAGCTGAAACACCCATGACATGATAACGGAAACAATCGGGTTTAGTCTTTGCATTGCACATAAAGATTAAGCCACCAAGCTTTTCTCTGTTTTTCTCATTTGATTGAATCTTTCTAATTCCACCATCCCTACCTTTACTCTTTTTACTCATGGCACCCATAGTTAAATCTGCATGTTTCCCTTTATTCTTCTTGCCAAGCATTTTGTCACCATTGTTCCTATTCTGCCTGTCCACCTTATTGCTCTCATCCCTATGGCTCTTCTCAGGCAGTTTATCAGGAATTCTCTTCTGCCCGATGCCTTGTGAAATTCTTTTATCAGAGTTTCCCAACAATTTCTTATTCTTCCTCCTTTGTTTTTCCCAAATCTTCTGAGCAACTTTATTCTTATTGGTCTTGAATTTACTGGCCTGAGATTTCTTCACAATTTTAGGGTTGGCCTTTAATGATCGTGGGGTATTCTTGTCACTTGACTCAATTTTGCTAGATCCTACAGGAGGATTCTCAGCATCCTTCTTTTCTTTGTCTGATGGCTCAGATCTAGAAGACACATTTGGTGGATGCTCACTGTCTTTCCTCCTTTCTTCTTGCTCCTTATTTGTAGTGTCCCCTTGAACGCCATTAATCTTTTTGGCCCCAGATCCACCAACCTGAGACTTCTTGACAATTTTAGATTTGGCCCTTAATGGTCGTGGGGAATTCTTGTCACTTGCCTCTGGTTGATTAGATTCATTGGGGGCATTCTCTGCATCCTTGATGTAGTCTGTTTCTGATGACTCTGTATCTTTCTTGATTTTATCTACTTTTGACAAATCAGGAGACATATTCAGAGAATTTTCAGTGTCCTTCCTGCTTTCTTCTTGCCCCATATTGCCAGTTTCTCCTTGAACACCTTTACTCATTCTGGTCTTAAATCCACTAACCAGAGACTTCTTGGTAATTTTTGGTTTAGCCTTTAATGATTGAGGGTCATTCTTGTCACTTGACCCTGGTCGACTAGATCCTCTAGAGGAATTCTCGGCATCCTTCATGCTATCTTTTTCTGATGAATCTGCACCCTTCTTGCTGTTAACATTTTCTGAAGACCCAAACTTAAAAGACACATCTGGAGAATTCTCAGCATCCTTCCTACTTTCTTCTTGCTCCACATTCCCTGTGTCCCCTTGAGCACCTTTATTCTTTCTGGTCTTTGATCTCGCAGCTGGAGACTTCTTCAAAATTTTAGGTTGAGCCTTTAACTGTTGTGGGGTATTCTTGTCACATGAACCTGGATTACTAGTTCCTTCGGGTATAACCTCTGCATCGTTCATTTTGTTATCTTTTTCTAGCGACCCTATATGCTTCTTACTGTTATCTTTTTCAGATGAAAATGCATCCTTCTTGCTGTCATCCGTTTCTGATAAAAATGCATCCATCTTGCTGTTATCCTTTTCCGAAGACTCTGCATCCTTCTTGCTATTATCCTTTTCTGATGACTCTGCATCCTTGCTGTTATCCTTTTCTAACAACTCTGAATCCTTCTTGCTGTTCACATTTTCTGAAGACTCAGACTTAAAAGACACATCTGGAGAATTCTCAGCATCCTTCCTACTTTCTTCTTGCTCCACATTCCCTGTGTCCCCTTGAGCACCTTTAGTCTTTCTGGTCTTTGATCTCGCAGCCGGAGACTTCTTCAAAATTTTAGGTCGGGCCTTTAACTGTTGTGGGGTAATCTTGTCACATGATCCTGGTTTACTAGTTCCTTCAGGTGTAATCTCTGCATCCTTCATTTTATTATCCTTTTTTGATGACTCTGTATCCTTCTTACTGTTATCTTTTTCTGATGAACATGCATCCTTTTTGCTGTCATCCGTTTCTGATAAAAATGCATCCATCTTGCTGTTATCCTTTTCCGAAGACTCTGCATCCTTCTTGCTATTATCCTTTTCTGATGACTCTGCATCCTTGCTGTTATCCTTTTCTAACAACTCTGAATCCTTCTTGCTGTTAACATTTTCTGAAGACTCGGACTTAAAAGACACATCTGGAGAATTCCCAGCATCCTTCCTACTTTCTTCTTGCTCCACATTCCCTGTGTCCCCTTGAGCACCTTTAGTCTTCCTGGTCTTTGATCTCGCAGCCGGAGACTTCTTCAAAATTTTAGGTCGGGCCTTTAACTGTTGTGGGGTAATCTTGTCACATGATCCTGGTTTACTAGTTCCTTCAGGTGTAATCTCTGCATCCTTCATTTTATTATCCTTTTTTGACGACTCTGTATCCTTCTTACTGTTATCTTTTTCAGATGAACATGCATCCTTCTTGCTGTTATCCTTTTCTGATGACTGAACATCCTTCTTGCTGTTATCCACTTCTGATGACTCTGCATCCTTGCTGTTATCCTTTTCTGACAACTCTGCATCTTTCTTGCTGTTAACATTTTCTAAGGACTCAGATCTAAAAGACACATCAGAAGATTTCTCAGCATCCTTCCTACTTTCTTGTTGCTCCATATTCCCTGTATCCCCTAGAGCACCTTTAGTCTTTTTGGTCTTGAATCTCCCAGCTGGAGACTTCTTCACAGTTCTAGGTTGGACCTTTAACTGTTGTGAGGTATTCTTGTCACTGGAATCTGGTTCACTAGTTCCTTCAGGTGCAATCTCTTCATCGCTCATTTTGTTAACTTTTTCTGATGACTCTGCCCCCTTCTTACTGCTATCTTTTTCAGACGACTCTACATCCTTCTTGCTGCTATCCTTTTCTGACGACTCTGCATCCTTCGTGTTGTTATCCATGTCTGATGATTCTGCATCCTTCTTGCAGTCATCCTTTTCTGATGACTCTGCATCCTTCTTGCCGTGATTTTTCTCTGATGATTCAGCATCCTTCCTGTTGTCATCCTTTTCCAGTAACTCAGGTGTAGAAGATACATCTGGAGGATTCTCAGTGTCCTTTCCTTCTTGCTCCATACTATACAGAAGGCCAAGCACACTAGCTTCCAGAGGAAAATCTTACTGCAAGGAAAAGGATATATGTTTTGAACTCCAAAATCTTACATTCCAGAGTCTGATAAGTCATGAAAGGGATATAATCAGTGTCCAGTGAGGGGGGAAGATGATGAGAAACGGAGAGGAACAAATACAAGCTTTTGAACTCCAGAAGGTACTACCATTGACAGATGAGATTGATATAAACAACTTACATTCAATAACTTAACAATGCCTAGCGTGCACAACCCAGAGTTTCAAATCTCAATCACATAAAACTATCTCCCACACCATAAATTATATCTAATAACTTGGTTTTCCCGACAACATTAAAAAAAAAAAAAAAAATTAGATGATGGTCCAAAGAATGAGGCCTTAGCCTTATCTAACCAAGAGCCAGGGGTTATGTAAAACATAGCAGTGGTGTTGAGAAATGATGCTTTCGTGGAACAGAACTCAGAATCTAATTGTCAATCCTTTTCTGATTGATAGGGTTCATTAGGGCATGGTAATAAACGTCACTTATTTCAAGGAGAACAACAGCAGTGGACTACTTATTGAGAGGCTACATGGAGAAAAGCAATGCAAAAGGGGCACCCACGGGGCTCCAACTTGCTCAAGATAATGCATAGTTAGCAAAATATTCTTCATACTGGTTCTGGATCCCATGAGGACATCCATCTTTATCTCCGATAGATGTTCCTTCTTTTCTAAGTTCCTTCTTCCAAATCTTTTGGGAAAAATCCATCACAGGTGACAAGAATGTTGCAATGCAAGTATTCTCATACAGGAAGCTTACCCATTTCAATCTATAATTATTCACCAATTCAAGTGAATGGTGCCCATAACAGTAATGTTCCAATGTAAATGTTGCAGCTTTTGCTTGTCCGGATATGATGGACCTTAGTTGTCAAATTATTGGAAACCAAATTTGGAATGATGAATCAAAAAGTGTATCCAATTATAATACTTTTAATACCAATTTAATAATAATTTGAAATATAAGATATAAAATACGTATATATATCTAGTATATAAGGAAAATACTCAATATAATTATTTGAACAAGAAAAAGTATTTAACCATAACTCACCAACCAAAGAAGTACGTATATAAGGCATGCACTGAGTATGACATGATATAATACATAAGATAAAATAATTTTAAAGAATTTAAGATTCAAGCATGTAGGGTGTGGGACTGTGGGTGTATTCAGTAAATGAACACATGAAAAGTACACAACAATTAAACGCAAAAAAAAAAAAGGATCAAATCTAAAACAAGTATTTCCAATGTAAAATAAGATGTCTATAATAAACAAAATAAAATTATAAAACAAGTTAAAACTAAAGCTTCTAAATCAAATTAAATGCAAATCATCACTTCCATTCACATCATTAAGATCCAGTATAAACTAGAGTTGTTTTGGCACATTTTGAAATGTTTTGAACAAAAAGAAAGCATGATAACAATGCCAAAGTAGCACGCAAATCAAATTGAACGCATATTCAATACGGATATCCCCTCTTTCTTGTATCAGCGCTTCCTATTCTTGTATATAAGCTTTAAATCACAATTTATAAGCAATTAAATTGGTTTATCCTACCTATCAATAATACCAAAGAGGCAAAGAACAGAAACAGCAAATAATAATATTCCTGTACCAACATCCAGAGCAGAAACAAGGAATTCAGCCTTTAAAACTTAAAAATAAAGGTAGAACGCAGATGTGGGAGAGTATAGTTTGGAATTCAACTTTTAAAATTTAGGGAATTCCATTTGGCAAAAGCACAGCACTAAATAGTCCACAGGACAACAAGAAACTTCGGTGGCAGTTCATTGGCATTTTAACCAGAAAATAGATGCTGAAAGTCAAAACCACATCATTTCTTAACCCTACATGCACAATAGAGTGCTGACTCCAAGGTCTGGACAAAAATAATAATAAAAAGTATGTGCATCACACAATCAATCGTTAAATATATCTTTATTCTTAAAAAAGAATTCCATGTTAAAGATTAATACCCTTCATGACCTCAACTGTCTTTCAAGTAATCAGGTTACATGGTAGTTTTACAAATTTTCTTGTTCTCTTTCGTGTCATAATTTATTTGCTCTTAAATAGTCAACAACAACAACAACAAGCCTTTATCCCACTAGGTGGAGTCGGCTACATGGATTGCAAGACGCCATTGTACTCTATCATTTATCAAGCTTTTAGGAATATTATTAATTAAGAGATTGCGTTCAACAACTTCCAAGAGTGTTCTCTTAAGCCTTCCTCTACCCCTCTTAATCGGACTCAAAGTTATATGTTCTATTCTTCTCACTGGTGCCTCCCTTGATCTTCTTTGTACATGCCCAAACCATCTCAACCGATTTTCTACCATTTTTTCCTCAATAGGTGCTCAATCTCCATAATTCTTACAACACATGAGATCACTGATAAATGAAAGCAATCACTAAACAGGCAGAAAATATATCTCAAGCCACAAAGCACCACTCCCTGCTGCTTTCAATGGGTTATACTTCGTTCAAGGAACTGTAAACTGTTATTTAAACCTCAAAAGATAGGAAAAACTATGAGAGGAGGGTTCAGTTGGTTGTACCCCTTAGCCATGTTTTTGTTTCAGCAAAATTTCCAAAAATGAAGAGATCCTTTCACTTCTCCCTTATATAAGTTATATTCTGGACCCAAAAAGAAAAGCTCCTACTAGGGAACCGATTGGTAAAGGAAGAGACAACAGTGCTCGCCCATTAGGTTCTGCAAAGCGAGAGAACAGGGCAGCAGCTAGGACAGAAGGCTTCCTTCAAAAGGAGAGATGTTTCGTGCCAGGGGTGGGGGTAAAGCTGGGTCCAGGAAAGGAGAGGGAGGTAAATCTGCGGAGCTGCCCATGAAGTAGCGGAACAGATTAAAAATTTATTTGCATACACTGAACATAAAAAGTATTTGCATAGACTAATCAAGAAAAATTGTACATTCTCAGCATTTTCACAGATTGACAAAAATATTTGCAAAGAAGCACAACAAATTCGCACAGCCAATAGATCAGCAAATTGTCCATTCTAACCAAAACGAAAATCTTTGCTCCACACAAATGTAATAGCCAAAGAGAAAAACCATCATACCAATAAAAGGTTAGATCAAAAGAGAGATCAAGGTGTATAGAATCCGAACCTTGAAGGCAAAAATTTCACCCTCCAACGCACTCAAACCCGCCAAATTTCGATCGCCTCCGTCACCGCTGTCACCTCCGGCGCCGATGACCTCTTCTACGTCAAAGTCTTACCAAGCTCCCTCGCCCCTGGCTCTCCCAATTCGCTCTCAACCAAATACTGGTCCTGGCCACGGACTTTTTCTCGCCTCCGGTACCGCTGTCACCGCCTGCAACGATTCCCTCTTCTCCGTCAACTCTCTCAGTTGCCGGCTACACGTGCTGCACCGACAACCATCGCCCCCCCCAAGCGCTCGTTCATTCTATGTTCCATCCAACCTAATTCACACGAGAGAACAAGGGATTATCAGTTTTTTTCCTAATATTCTTCTATGTCTTATTTATCAAATATATATATATATATATATATATATATAATATCAGTCAATCATCAACATACTAATAACAAAAGACTCATTGTTATTGTTATTGTTGCTTGTTGATTTGATTCATTATATTAATAGTTATTTAAAATTAAACCTCATATCTTTTCGACCCATGATTAAACACCCAATATGAATAAAAAGATTAGATCAAAAGAGAGATTTGGGTGTGTCGCGCGCGCACAAAGGAATAAGGAAACCTATAATTGGAGGTGAAACGGAGGGATAATACATGTGGGAGAAGAATCAGCGAGAGGGCTGGAGAGAACAGCATCGGAGATAGGTCAAGACGTGCAAGTAAAATTGTAGCTCCATTTTAAGCGAACGACGTAAGTTTGACTTGCAGACCCAAGTCGGGCCTTTAAGTTGGGCTTAAACTGGAATCAATTTGAAAGAAATTACTTGCTTTTCTTTTACACTATTACCCAAAAAATTCTTAAATAGAATTTTGTTAAATATATATATATGCCACCTAGGTATTAATATTTTGAAAGTCAGATTAGACGTCGAATTTGAAAAGCTAATAGGTCACGGTTTTTATAATTCAACTAATCAAATAAGGCAAAATAATTAAATAAAAATATAAAGATTAATAATATAAAATAATAAAAACAAAACATTAAAATAGACAAATATAAAAAGTAAAACTGTAAAAGCAAATTTAAAAACTAAAAATAACTAATATTTTAATAAATATTTAAAAAAGGGATATAACACTTATAATATTTATGCCTAACTTATATTTTATATTATGTAATTTTACTTATTTAATCCTATTTTTTAACCAGAAAATAGCTCTAAAAATGCAAATTGTAATCACTTTATTGGCAAGTTATCAACATTAGACAAAATAATATATATATATATATATATATATAATAAATTTATTTTTTCAAGCATCTTGAAAAAAAATTGTCTAGTATGGACGAGTTGCTAACATCCGAACATTTATTTGTCAATTTTTAAATATCACTTGTTAATAATTAAAAAAATAATTTTCAAAGACCAACTTATTTTATTTTTTACAACTTGTCCTTTAATATTAACAATAACAATTCAATTTTCAAAACTTAATAGTGATCCATCCATAGTTAACAAAATCTCATAAAAATAACCAAGTATTATTGATAAAAATACATGGAAATTTTATTACAATTTTTTAGTTAACATAATATTGATAGCTTGTTAATGTCGAGGAAATAAGTTGTAAAAAATCGAACAAGTTAGTATCTAAAAATTAACAATTTTTTAAAAATATTAACAAGTAATGTTTGAATGTTAACGAGTAATTGTTTGGATATTAACAGTAATTTGTTCATAATTGACAAAAGCCCATGAAAATGTTTGAAAATAATTTTATATCATACATACATATATACATGCATATGCATACATACATATATACATATATATATATATATATATTATATTTAACATGGTATTGGTAACTCATCAAAGTTGAACGAACAAGTTGTAAAATATTGAACAAATTAATATTTGAAAATTGACAATTTTTTTTAAACATCAACAAGCCATGCCGAATATGGACAAGTGATTTTTTTGATATTAACAGTAACTCGTCCATAATTTATAATAACCGATGAAAATGTTTTGGAAATAAAAGTTAGGGTTAAATGGTAATGTGGATCCTAAAATATAGGCCTAAGGATAATTTGAACTCTAAACTTGAATTTGGTTTATTTTGAAGCCTAGACAATTAAATATGGGGCGACATTAATTTGGACTAAATGTCGTTACTTTAAGCATTGGCCCCATTTTCTTTTTCTTTATCATTGCTAGAAAATCTAGATTAAGACCGAAGAAATGAAGTCACCATGGATTAGAGGGATGGCTCTTTTACCTACCTCATGGTTTCCAATTAGGACAAATTTATAATTTTTCTTACATGTTGTATTTGGGTTGTATTGGAGAGATGACTCTTTTTCCCATCCTTTTATTTCCTTTCTTTGTGAAATTATAACCATCTCCTTTAGGATCAACTTACACCTCAATGGCAAACATTTCAATGACAATGACCACATAGACATAAATTGTGTTTAAGGTTTAGGTAAACCCTCTTAAATAAAGTTCCATATTAGTCTAGAGGCATGGACAGAGAAACTCGAAGCAAGTCCCTTCTCTTGAAGGTTGCTTCCCAACCCAATACCTAAGTGTCATGGTTGCACAACATGAGTTTTATAAGCTTAGTTGTGGAAAGCTCTACAACACTTTTCAAACAAGTTTGAGAGGTGTTGCAAATGCATTTGCCATGACTTGAGAAGAGTAAATGATGGAGTGAGAATAAAATACCAGAGTGGTGACAGAAAATGTGGGCAAAGTAAATGGAGTGGGTGAGAGAAAATGTGGGCCTTACAATACTTAAAGTAATCGAGATTAATTTGGAATTAATAATGGGAGCTAAATTATTTCAAATTTAATTGTTCAGAATTCAAAATATACTAAGTATAAGTTCAGAGTTCAAATCCCCTCTAAGTTTATAATTTAAGGTTTAAATTACCATTTAACCCTAAAAGTTATGGCATGTATATTATTTTACACTATATAACTTAATAGGCTTATTAGTTCAATAGTCTCCTATATTTTGGACAATAAAGGGTCATGGATTCAAACTCTAAATCCTTGGCCCCTATCTAAAGCATTGGCTACCTATCGATGTCGAAGCATTAACCCCTTTCTAAAACAAGGGCATTTTAATAATTTGTCTAAAAAATTAACTGTAGTTAAGATCTTTAGACTTATAGAAGAGTTTCATAATCTATTGAACCTTGCATGCTATTAGCATGCTTGTGGGGCCTAATTGACATTTTCCCATTGAAAAAATTGAAAGGAAAGTTACATAAAATTCAATGAAACATGTGGAGAAATGTCACATGAATAAAAAAATTAGGTTAAGGTGTATTATTTTTCCCATGTGCTTTCTTCTGAGAGGCTTTTGGAACCTTTTATTGAAAAGTGGAACATTTTTTCTTTAAATTATTTTCTTAAGGAGCAAAATTCCCTCAATGAATTAGCCATGAACTCAAATGTTATTTGATGACATGGCAAGGCAAGTAGAATCTAACATGGATTTGACCCTTTGTTGACCCTCCCATGTCGCTCATCTTCATCTTTAAATGATGACTCACTTTCATCTTCATAATCACTTTCTTCATTGCCTAGAACTCAACATCACCACCGAAGACATTCTTGAGGCACTTGACTAGACTATGTAAAATCAAAGACAAATGCAGTCCTTATGCTACATATGTAACACTCTTATTTTTATAAAGCAAAATTTATTATATATTAAAAATAAAAACTTGCATTAGACACTGGGATCCTAATAAAACAACTACGGTAAAAAGAAGAGGGCTTAGCTCAAAATCAAATAAAATAAATTTTTAAATAATTTCAAAGGACCTAAAATACCAAAATTTATTGAACATTTCAAAATCAATAAAATAGTAACATAAATACACACTCTCAAGTCATGGCAATAAACAGAGTGTAAATGGAACATTTGCAATACCTATAAAACAATTGATTCATCACTCAATTCTCTAACGCTTTCCCTTATAATCTATCAAAACCCTCACTAAAAATTGTAAGAAATAAAAAATGAGATCTAACGTTTTTGTAGCAAATAAGAATTCTAAATATTCCAACAAACCAATTCAAAATCTCATTTTGCAACATGAATTTACATAGATAATATCTTTACAAAATCAATTCACAAAAGGAAATATTATTTTTACAAGTTAAAAGTATATAAAAAATAATCATAAAACAATGATGTCATCCTCGATCCCCCTTATGCCGCTCATCCACCCCATCTCACTAGCAAAAGTTTAGCTTGAGGATACACTCATCAAAAGTGCATTGCCTACAAGACTAAAATCCCTTTTTTAAAAAGGAGTTGCCTAATGTCCAACAATCTTAACTTAAGGGAAAGGGACCTAACAAGAAATGGTAACTATGGGACCCTTAACGGCGGCTTATCATATAGCCAAAATAACGATAAGATCTCTAATACATCCACCACAAACATATATTATCTTATACTTCCTATAAATGCATCACATTCACAAAAAATTCAAAATACACACGCATGCTTGAAAAGTTCAAATCATATTATTTTCAATTTCTAAAGCAACCAAGGACACTTGACAAAAATTAAACTACCATAAAAATTTATTTCCACAATCCAATTATAACTCAACAAAAAATAATATGCTTGAAAGGAATAAAGTAGTTATATATATATATATATATATTGGATAGGCTGGCATCCAAGAGGGGGTGAATTGGATAACACTAAAAATTTCTTGAAAGCTTAAAGAGTGAAAAAAACTTGAGCAAGAAAGAAAGAAATAATACACATGAGATTTATCTTGGTTCAGCCAAACTTGGCCTACATCCAATCCTCAAGATCACACTTGAAATTTCCAACTAAACTCGCAAGCTTCATTAGGTGCTTGCTACTACAGTATAATTCTTAAGACTTTACTTATCTTAATTCAATAACAAACTTTGCTACAATTCAGCAAGTTGCTACAATCACTTAAAAAATAATTTTCTAATATTTTAATTGAAGAATAAAACTTTCACAGAAAAACTCTCTTGAAGAGTAAATAGATTACAAATGAAAGCATATAAACTTGTGAGAGCTTCTTCATAAATTTTATTAAAAATCATAAATGAATGCTAAACATTTATGCACAATTTAAAAGCTTTTTAGAATGCTCAAATAATTAATAATTCTCTCAAAAAATTAGAATTCTAGTTTTAGACTTGAATTGTATCACATATATAGTTTTGACAGTTAACAAATAGTTAGAACAGTGTTTCTAGCCATTGGTGACATTTCTTGTGTGCAACCAGAAGTTTCATGCATGAAATGGAGCTATCTAGACATGCATATGTAACAATTCAAGCATAAACCTTAAGGTGTCTCATGTGTGTTTTAGAAGGTAAGAATATGCAACTTATTCTGTGTGACAAAACTCATATGTAACCCTTAGGTTCTCATGTGTGATTTGGCTAGCAGAATGTCAAAGCCAAATCTGTGTGTTAAAACTCGTGTGGAACCAACAAACTATCACATATGGAATGACTTGTTACAAACCTAAACCATTCGAGAAGACAATTCACACATGGAACACTGTAATACTCATGCGTAAAATGACAAGTTGTAAAACTTAAACCATTATAGGTTATATCACACATGTAATGCCCTCATTGACATTACCATACAACCTTCTACTTATCTTACTAATC